ATAAGATCACTAGTCATTATTGGATTAGGGCCCACTGTAATTATAATCAGATGATTTCACCTTTTTTTTTTTTTAGAGACAGTGTTTCACTCTGTCGCCCACACTGGAATTCAGTGGCTTGATCACAGATCACTGCAGCTTCGACATCCCGGGCTTAAGCAGTCCTCCCACCTCAGCTCCCAAGGAGCTGGGATTACAGGCACTTGCCACCACCTCCAGCTCATTTTTTATTTTTTTTTTGCTTTTTTTGTAGAAAGGGGGGTCTTACCGTGTTGGGCAGGCTGGTCTTGAACTCCTGGGCTCAAGCAATCCTCCCACCTCAGCCTCCCGAAGTGCTGGGATTACAGGCGTGAGCCACTGCACCTGGCCTGATTCCAGGCCAGGAATCATCTTAACTAGCCGACCTCATTACAATGACCTCATTTAACGAGATGACCTCTATAAAGACCTTGTCTCCATATAAGGGCACATTCCGAGGTATTAGAGGTTAGGGTACCAGCATATCTTTTTCAGCAGAACACAAGTCAACTCATAACAATTTCTGATACCGACCATGGATGAACCTCAGAAATAGGACACTCAGCAGAAGAAGCCAGACACAAACGGCCACAAATCGCGTGCTTCCATTTATGTGAAATTTTCAGAAGATGCAAATCCGCAGAGACAGAAAGGAGATCAGTGGTTGCCGGGGGCTGAGAAAGGGAGCAACTGCTAATGGGGACAGGGCTTCCTTTTGGGGTGATGGAAGTGTTTTGAAATTAAATAGAAGTGGTGGCCGCACAACACTGAATGTACTAAATGCCACTGAATTGTGTACTTTAAATGGGAGAATTGTAGGGTTTGTGAATTTCTTTTTTTGTTTTTTGAGATGGAGTCTTGCTCTGTTGCCCAGGCTGGAGTTCAATGGCACGATCTCGGTTCACCGCAACCTCCGCTTCCCAGGTTCAAGCGATTCTCCTGCCTCGGCCTCCTGAATGGCTGGGATTACAGGCATGCACCACCATGCCTGGCTAATTTAATTTTTGTGTTTTTAGTAGAGATAGGGTTTTGCCATGTTGGCCAGGCTGGTCTCGAACTCCTGACTTCATGATCTGCTGCCTTGGCCTCCCAAAGTGCTGGGATTACAGGTGTAAGCCACCATGCCTGGCCATGTGAATTTCATATATATATATATATATACATATATATACTTGTGAGTTTTTTTGGTTTTTGGTTTTTTTTTTTTTGATGGAGTCTCACTCTGTCATCCAGGCCAGAGTACAGTGATGCAATCTCAGCTAACTGCAACCCTCACCTTCCAGGTTCAAGTAATTGGCCTGCCTCAGCCTCCCCAGTAGCTGGGATTACAGGCTCCCGCTACCACGCCCGGCTAATTCTTGTATTTTTTATAGAGACAGGGTTTCACCATGCTGACCAGGCTGGTCTCGAACTCCTGACCTCAAGTGATCCACCCACCTCAGCCTCTCAAAGTGTTGGGATTACAGGTGTGAGCCACCGCACCCGGCCTGTTTCTCTTTTTAAGTACAGGATCTCGCTCTGTCACCCAGGCTGGAGTACAATGGAGTCAGAACTCACTGCAACTCCCACCTCCTAGGATCAAGCAATCCTTTTGCCTCAGTCTTCCAAGGAGCTGGGACCACAGGCACAGACCACCATGCCCAGCTAAATTTAAAACCATTGTTTTGTTTTGTTTTTTTAATGGAGACAGGGTTTCTTCATTTTGGTCAGGCTGGTCTCGAACTCCTGACCTCAGATGATTCACCTGCCTCGGCCTCCCAAAGTGCTGGGATTACAGGCGTAAGCCACCACGCCCAGCCTGTTTTTTTTTATATAAAGAAAACTCCTGAGCTCCGGTGATCCTCCTGCCCTGGCCTCCCAAAGTGTTGGGATTATAGGTGTGAGCCACAGACTCGGCTTTTTTTGTTTTTCAGTGTAATTCAGGCTGAATGCAGTGGCTCACACCTGTAATCCCAGTACTTTGGAGGGCTGAGGCAGAAGCATCACTTGAGCCCGAGTTCAAGATCAGCCTGGGCAACATGGTGAAATTCTGTCTCTACACAAAATTTTTTTTAAAAATTGGCCAGCCATGTTGATACACATCTGTAGTTCCAGCTACTTGGGAGCGTGAGGCGGGAGGATCACCTGAGCCAGGGAGGTCAAGCTCTGCAGCAAGCCATGATCGGGCCACCAGCCTGGGGGACAGAATGAAACTCCGTCTCAAAAAACACAACAAACAAACAAACGAAAACCAGAGGCAGTGCAGGAAGCAACATAGCAAGACCCCCTCCCCTTAAGAAAAAAAAAAAAAGGAAGGAGTTTGAGGCCTCAGTAACCTGTGATCCTGCCAGAACAAGATCAGGTGTCCAAAAAAAGGGCGGGGCATGGGGGATGGGGAGGGGGGGGGTGTGGACGCATTCCCGATGTTACCTTTGCCTCCAGGTACTGATAGATGTTCTGTATCTTGTCGCTCCGCTCCTCCCCCAGGCCTGGCCCCGACATGGTCAGGGCCCCCCATCAAGGCCTCCAGGGTTGGTGGGGGTAGCAGTGGCACTGCAGGGCGTCCTTTATGTCAACGCATTGCGCTCTGCGGATGTGTGAGTGGAGGAGGCCCCTAGAACGCAAGGCCGCCACATTTTAAGGAAGTGATTTTTTTTCTTTTTCTTATTTTAGAATGACTTTATTGCTTTTTATTTTTAAAATGACACGTGAAAAAGGAAAAAACTTGATACTTAGGAGTTATACATACGTTCAGAAGGAAGAGAAAAGTGCAGTGAAGGGCCGAGTGCGCACACCTGGAATCCCAGCACTTTGGGAGGCCGAGGCGGGAGGATTGCTGGAGACCAGGAGTTCGAAACCAGCCTGGGCAACGGAGTGAGACCCCCATCTCTACATAAGTTTTCTTTTTTTTTTCCCTTTTTATTTATTTATTTATTTATTTTTTCTGAGACGGAGTCTTGCTCTTGCTCCCCAGGCTGGAGTGCAATGGCACAATCTCAGCTCACTGCAACCTCCGCCTCCCAGGTTCCAGTGATTCTCTTGCCTCAGCCTCCCAAGTACCTGGAATTACAGGTGCACGTCCCCACACCTGGCTAATTGTTGTATTTTTATAGAGACCAGGTTTCACCACGTTGGCCAGGCTGACCTCTCGTGGTCCACCCGCCTCTGCCTCCCAAAGTGCTGGGATTACAGGCGGGAGCCACCACACCTGGCCTTTTTTTTTTTTTTTTTTTTTTGAGACAGACTCTTACTCTGTTGCCCAGGCTGGAGTGCAGTGGCGCAATCTTGGCTCACTGCAACCTCCACCTCCCGGGTTCAAATGATTCTTGTGCTTCAGCCCCCCCCCCCAGGCTGGGATTACAGGTACATGCCACCACACCCGGCTAATTTTTTTGTATTTTTAGTAGAGATGGGGTTTTGCCGTGTTACCTAGGCTGGTCTCAAATTTCTGTCCTCAAGCAGGTGCTCCTGCCTCAGCCCCCCAAAGCACTGGGATTACAGGCGGGAGCCACCACGGCCATCCCGTTTCCACTTCTGGAGGTTGTGAATCGTGCTGTTATGAATGTGTCTGTCCAAGGCTTTGCTTAAACACTTGTTTTCGTTTCTCTGAGTCTGTCTAGGAGTGGGAATGCTGGGTCATTAGTAACTCTGTGTTGAAGCTTTTGGGGAACATTCATCTGCTATTTAGCTCACATTGTGGCCCGTGTTGAGAACTAGAGAGTTTTGCATATGAGGTCACGTTTCTGACTTCTCTTGGAAATATTCGAAGCTGGCGTGGTTGCTCACCAGTGATCCCAGTGCTCTAGATCTGAGTGCTGAGGCAGGGGGACACTTGAGGCCAGGAGTTTGAGACCAGCCTGGGCAACATAGGGAGACACCATCTCTACAAAAAATTTAAAAAATTAGCCAGGCATGGTTGCCAGGAGGCTGAGGTCTGAGGATCACTTGAGCCCAGGAGGTCAAGACTGCAGTGAGCTGCAGTTGGGCCACTGCACTCTGGTCCAGGCAACAGAGCAAGACCTTGTCTCAAAAAAAACAAAAAGGAAAAAGCCTGTAATCCCAGCATTTGGGAGGCCGAGGCGGGCAGATCACGAGGTCAAGAGATCGAGACCATCCTGGTCAACATGGTGAAACCCCGTCTCTACTAAAAATACAAAAATTAGCTGGGCGTGGTGGCGTGCGCCTGTTGTCCCAGCTACTCAGGAGGCTGAGGCAGGAGGATTGCTTGAACCCGGGAGGCGGAGGTTGCAGTGAGCTGAAATTATGCCACTGTACTCCAGCCTGGCACCTGGTGACAGAGTGAGACTCTGTCTCAAAAAAAAAAAAGGAAAAAGAAAAGAAAAATCCTGGCTAAGTGTGGTGGCTCACGCCTGTAATTCCAGCACTTTGGGACGCCAGGCAGATGACTGGAGGTCAGGAGTTCGAGACCAGTCTGGCCAACATCATGAAATCCCATGTCTACTAAAAATACAAAAAATATATATATATTAGCTGAGCGTGGTGGTGCATATCTGTAGTCCCAGCTACTTGGGGGCTGAGGCAGGAGAATTGCTTCAGCCTGAGAGATGGAGGTTGCAGTGAGCCGAGATGGTGCCACTGCTGGAAGACTCGAAAGAAAGAGAGAGAGACGGAGAGAGAGAGAGAGAGAGGGAGAGAGACAGAGACAGAGAGAGAGAGAGAGAAAAGAGAGAAAGAAAGAAAATTAAAAAGGCCGGGCACGGTGCTCACGACTGTTTCCCAGCACTTTGGGAGGCTGAGGTGGGCGATGTCCTGAGGTCAGGATTTCGAGAGCAGTCTGGCCAACATAGTGAAAACCCATCTCTACTAAAAATATAAAAACAGGCGTGGTGGTGGGTACCTGTAATCCCAGCTACTTGGGAGGCTGAGGCAGGAGAATCGCTGTCAGACGGGAGGGGGAGGCTGCAGTGAGGCAAGATCGCGCTATTGCACTCCAGCCTGGGTGACAAGAGCAAAACTCTCAAAAAAAGAAAAAAAAAAAAAAGGTCCATGGCCACACCACCTTGAACGCACCCGATCTCATCTGATCTCGGAAGCTAAGCAGGGTCGGGCCTGGTTAGCACTTGGATGGGAGACCACCTGCGAAAATCGGGTGCTATAGGCATTTAAAAATAATAATAATAAATTTAAAAAAGAAGAAAAAAAAAGAAAGAAAGGAAAAAAAGAAAAGTGCAAGCCTTTGGGGTTTCAGGCCAGGCTGACATCACTCTCTGGGGGGTCTGGGGCTGGGCGGGGAAGCAGAGGCGTGTCTGACACCCACGGCCGGCCCCTCTCCCCCTCCACAGCTGTTCATGGTGGACAACGGGGCGGATGACTGGCGCATCGCCATGACCTGCGAGCGCGTGTTCCTCATCTCGCTGGAGCTGGCGGTGTGCGCCATTCACCCGGTGCCCGGTCACTACCGCTTCACGTGGACGGCGCGGCTGGCCTTCACGTACGCGCCCTCGGTGGCCGAGGCCGACGTGGACGTGCTGCTGTCCATCCCCATGTTCCTGCGCCTCTACCTGCTGGGCCGGGTGATGCTTCTGCACAGCAAGATCTTCACGGACGCCTCGAGCCGCAGCATCGGGGCCCTCAACAAGATCACCTTCAACACGCGCTTCGTCATGAAGACGCTCATGACCATCTGCCCCGGCACGGTGCTGCTGGTCTTCAGCATCTCCTCCTGGATCATCGCAGCCTGGACCGTGCGCGTCTGCGAGAGGTGCGACCCCCGCCCCCGGAGCCCCCCACGCCCGGACCTGGGCCGAGGATGGCCTCGGGGACCCCCGCCCCAGCCCCCCTCTCCCTGGACCTCCGTGCCCGTTCATGACTTCACTGATCCTGAGCTCCCCCGGACCCTGACCCGGGCCATTGCTTTCGTCTCCCCGACTGCAAGACCTCCATGGTGCCTTCTGTCTCCCAGTTTGTGGCTTCAGTAATCATCCTCCCTGGGGACCCAGCCCTGTGATCCCAGCTGCCCTCAACCAGGGAGGGACCCCAGCTCCCTCTTCCTCATCCTCCCCGCTAGGGTCCCTCGCACCTCCTTCTCCCTGCCGGCCCCTCGGCTCTCTGGGAGGCTGACCCCTGCTCTCTGGCCCTGGGGGCGGAGGCAGCAGGCACAGGGACACCTCCTCCCTCCTCTGTCTCCCACCTCCCACGTTTAACCAGCTCTCATTTTCCCCCCTGCCCGCTCCACCGGACTTTAGGGAAAACATGTGAGTCCCACCGTCGGCTGAGCTGTGTGCGCAGAGCAGCCGCTGCCACCGCTGCCGCCATCCCCCACCCGCCAGGAATTTAAGATTAGCTGCCGCAAGGGGAGGGAGGCAGGGAGGACGGGCCTGGCAGGGTGGATCGGGGTCAGTCCCCCCATCTCGGGTGCAGGCGCACCGCTGGGCATCCTCTCTGAGTCTCGGGGCCCTTGTGTCCGGAGGGCGGGGAACTAAGGAAGGGCTTGGCTCTGATGTGTTTGCGCAGTTCATCCCTGGGAGCTCCACGTTTCCTCCCAAGACTTACATGGATCTGGGATGGGATGGGATGGGCGTGGTGGCGCGTGCCTGTAATCCCAGCTACCGAGGAGGCTGAGGCAGGAGAATGTCAGTGAGCTGAGATAGTGCCACTGCACGCCAATCCAAACAAACAAAAATAGACGAATGAATAATTCTGGGGTGAGGGAAAGCTAGCCACGTCTTGGGGACCTCCAAGCAGGAGGGAGTCTGTTGTGAATACCCCTGGGCGGTGGTGGGCCATCAACCCGATTGACAGAGAGGGAAACTGAGGCTCTGGCTGGCAAAGGGACTTGCCCAGAGGCATGAGTCCTGGTGGCCTCAGAGGTGGGAGGGGCTCCGCTGGGCCTGGGTGGGAGAGGCCTTATCTGAGAGAGGGTCTCCTTGCCATGCGCCTAGCTGGGGGAGGTCCTGGAGGGGTCCTGGGGGGGGGTCCCTGACTGGACCTCAGCATACCATCCTCATCCCTCCGCCCAGCCTCCCCCCCCATACCCCCCTGCCTGGGCCTGATGTCCCGCTCTCAGGGATGAAGGCCCCGGTTCCTCTGGCTGTCAGGACTTCCAGGGATCTCCTTGGTCCCCCTGATGTTCCCCCAGGCAGCTCCCACAGTCCTTCCCTACCCCTCAGGGTGGGGTCAGAACTAGGGTCAGGGTATGGGGTGCTCCTTGTCCGGTATCCCTGAGGTCCAAGGTGGGACCTTGCAGGGCTCTGCCCCAGGTGGGGGAGGGGCACGGGGCAGGGCGGGCAGGCAGCCAATCCTAAATTCTGAGCCTGGCAACAACGCTTCAAGCCCCTTTGCCTGCCTCGCTCTGGCCCAACCCCGCCTTCTGCATGTCCCCCTGCCCTGCTCCTGGGTGGTCCCGTGGCACCCCCCCCATTGCTCCCTCCGGGTCTGGGGCTCACCCTCTTACCTGCTAGAGGGCCCCCAGCCCCTCCTGCCCGCTGTGGGTCAGGCAGCTTGGGGCTCAGATGTTCCGGTATAAGATGGGGTCAGTCCCTGGGCCCCCACCCAGCAAGCATCCTAGAAGCCCAGACTGGAGGTTCCTGGAGTGGCATTCGACCTCCGCAGGAGTGGGGACCCCTAAACAGCCAATCTTTGGGGGGCCTCCATCTCCTTCCCTCTGGAGCCTCTGACCCCAGCCCTGTCCTTGGGCCCTGGCACCACCGTGCCTGGCACAGGCCTCCCCTGAAGATCCTGCTCCATTTGTGCTACCCCAGTTGGCCTCTGACCTTGAACGCTGCAGAGCCTGGCTTGGGGCTCAGAGGACTGAAGCCCTGGGAAGGAGTGGGTTAGCCAGAAGCCAGGTCAGAGGGGGCCCAGCCCCCAGCACAAGACCAAGGGGATTTGGAGGCTGAGAGCTGAGCAGGAACAGATCCTAGAGCCACCCCCAGACCCAGAGAGCCAAGCCCTCTGCCCCCTGGCATGGCCACAGGCAGAAGCTCTTTGCAGCCCCTCTGGCTGAAGTCAGGGAGGAGTGAGGGGACTCATGTTGTCCCTCAGCCTACGTCCTTCATATATGGGCATCCCTTCTTCACTCAAGTCCCTGGGCGTGATCCTCCAGCCTCCCACCTCCCCAGACAGTCCTCCTCCCTCCTTGGGGCCTCGCTCGCTGGGGAAGTTCTTCCTGGTGTCTGACCTGAATCCTTGCCTCCACCTCCTGCCGCTTCTGGTGCCATGGTCACCTGTCCTCCTGTCTGTGTGTGTCTGTCTTGGGGAGGGGGATTGTATGTTCATGCAACCTCACCCGGGCCCCTGCCCCATCTGGGGAAGCAGCTTGGGGGGCAGGCAAAGGGAATGTGGGAGGGCTGTCGGGGGAGAGGGTGCGCATGTCCTGTGCTCACAGGACACGGCCCCCATGCAGCCAGGTGGGCTCAGGGCCCTGCAGCCCTGGCGCCACCCCAGAGGAGGTGATGGAGGCAGAGGGGATGGTATAAACTGACTGAACCCTCCCTTTTCCCACCCTGGCCCCCTCAGGTACCACGACAAGCAGGAAGTGACCAGCAACTTCCTGGGCGCCATGTGGCTGATTTCCATCACCTTCCTCTCTATTGGTTATGGTGATATGGTGCCCCACACCTACTGCGGGAAGGGCGTGTGCCTGCTCACTGGCATCATGGTAAGGGCACGGGCCCATGTGCGTGACTCTGGGAGGTCCAGCCAGCCACCTGCTCCAATAGCCCTTGCATACCCCTCACTGACGGGGCGCTCATCCCATCATGGGCTGTGCCGGGCCAGTGTTCCTCCTGTCAATCCCCCCCTCCTCTGCCCTGCTTTTCCTTTGATGTCATGTGGAAGCCATGCTCACAGGCTTCCTAGGACCTCTCCCTGTGGTCCTTCCAGGCCTAGATAGGCAGCTCCCACCATGCCTGCCCAGTCAGAAGCTGTGGTCCACTCTGACCAGAGAGTCATTGTCACTCGTTTATTCTCTACAGCCCAATTTATTGACAGCCTTTGGATCCAGGGCAAGGGGTTTGATGCTGTTGTGCCTCCGTTTCCTCGGTTGTGACCAGTGCTACTTCCTCTGCTTTGCAAGGGCTAAGTCGGTTATTTATATGAGAGTCCCAGAACTGCGAATGCCAAGGACACGCTATAAATACCTACTGGGACAGCTGGGACCTGTGGCTCAGGCCTGTAATCCCAGCACATTGGGAGGCTGAGGTGGGTGGATCACCTGAGGTCAGGAGTTCGAGACCCGCCTGGCCAACATGGTGAAACCCCATCTCTACTAACAAATACAAAACTTAGTTGGGCGTGGTGGCACATGCTACTCATGAAGCTGAGGCTTGAACATGGGAGATGGAGGTTGTAGTGAGCTGAGATCGTGCCACTGCACTCCAGCCTGGGCAACAAAGCAAGGCTCTGTCTCAAAAAGAAAAAGAAAAGAAAAAAAGTCACAAGTACAATGAAAGTGTCAAATTTTGGGCCGTGCACGTGGCTCATGCCTGTAATCCCAGCACTTTGGGAGGCCAAGGCGGGCGGATCACAAGGTCAGGAGATCGAGACTATCCTGGCCAGCATGGTGAAACTCCGTCTCTACTAAAAATACAACAATTAGCTGGGCATGGTGGCGTGTGCCTGTAATCCCAGCTACTTGGGAGATTGAGAGAGAATTGCTTGAACCCGGGAGGTGGGGTTGGTGGTGAGCCAAGATGGCGCCACTGCACTCCAGCCTGGGTAACAGGGGCGAAACCCCATCTCAAAAAAAAAAAAAAAACAAAACACCTGCTGGGGGTGTCTTCTGCAACCCAAACCTCCTTGCTTGGCTGACTTTCGGGGTGTCCCCTGAGTCCCCATGATGTAAAGTATGTCTGTCATGATTCAGGGGGCACGGGCAGCACCCCGTCTCCCCCGAAGGATTTTCCAGTCTGCCATGGGTGCCCGTGGACATCTTTTGATGCTTCCTGCTTTCTCTTTTCCTTGATTCAGTCAAAAGGGTCCCTGTCCATCCCCTCCTTCCAGAACCTTCTTTCTCTCCAAACGTGTTTTATGCCCATGCCAACAAACGCTTTTCCATGTTTTATTTTTTTTTATTTTTATGTTTTTATAGACATGGGGTCTCACTGTGTTGCCCAGGCTGGTCATAAACTCCTGGGCTCAAGTGATCCTCCTTCCTGGGCC